CTGGCAAGCTCTTGCCGCCGCCGCCGCCGCCGAGGCGATCTTCGAGGTCCGTTGCTTAGCCTCTCTTTTTTTTGTGCGCATGTTCGGTCTACAATGTGCATTCTTTTGATGAAAGATTGAGGATTTTGATTGTTTGTTTCATTAGTTTCGTTTTCTTTTCAAATTCCTGCTCTTTTATGTTCATTTTACTTACAATGTGTGTTCATTCGAGGCGGACTAGTGATTGATTGCCTGTACTTGTTACAAATCTGGTGCCTTTTGCTGTCTTGTGTGCTATATGTGATGGGTCTTCTTTCTCTATAATAATTGTAGGTTGCAGAACTCTACTCCAGTTATCTACGCAGAAATCTGTGCAGAAAAGAAAGAAAAATCAGCGAAAAAAGGTTTGCCGTTGATTGCACAAGGGGAAAGGGAAGAAGTCTATACAGATGAGCATGCTGCATTGCTGGGAAGCTGTGAGACTAGCTGGACGCTCTTTGTGGATGGGTATGACAATGATGGGAAACGTGTATATGATCAAGTCAAGGGGAAGACTTGTCACCAATGCAGGTTATCCCCACCCCCCTTTTGTTTTGCTTATTATGTGTACTGCTCCTTTCTATATTATGATATGTTGTTATATCCAACTCTAATATGTGATTGCATGGTGTGTTCTTTTTGATTATAAATTCAGAATAACAGTAAGAGTATGTATATTAGTCGGTCACAGCGTGTTGTTTGGTAAATGAGCTAACTCATGTCACAAAATCAGACACACGCTTCCTTTTAAGACAAACCCTGATGGTTACTTCTCTTGCATCACAGTGTTCTTTTTCAACAAGAATCCATGCTCTACACCTTGGCAATTTTGGACTGTGAAGAGTTTGTCATATCGGGTTTTGCTCCTGCATGTCTTTGACTCTGCAGTTATGGAGATTAATTATTTGAGGGGTATAGTGGGCACTTCTTTGTAGGGTTAGGACAACAGCCCGTAGTTAGCACATTAGGTCATGGGAATAAAAAACAAAAGAAGCAAAAACCCTACAGAAAATTCATGTAGAAATCCAGAATGTAAATATAATATGGATTCCAGTAGAAACTTATACAAAAGCTGGATACGAAACTAACTGGCAGCCACAAGAAACTGAAGAGATACACATGGGTTTCTATACAAAATCCAAGTGAAATTGGTATGGATCTGAAAGAAAATTAAATCATAATCCTGCATAGCATTGGTAGGACTAGTAGTATAATGTTGCAAAAGAGACCATTAAAACGTTGAAACTAATAGAAAATGTAAATAATTTTCATGTGAGACCTAGACAGTAGATAGAACATAGAGAATGGTTTTAACTGTAAAGAACATTGTAGCCACTAGTAATAAGAAAGAAATAAAATTTTGTGCATATGTAACATTTGAAAGTTTTAAGTGTTCTAAAAGTTCCCCATCAAATTATAAGAAAGATGTCAAAGTTATATGACTTTGATAATATCTCTTATATTAGAGAAACATTCACTCTTCCCATGCTTCCCAAAACTTTATTTCCGTCCTAGTTTCGCATCTGTGGAAGTGAGCTTCTGATATAAAATGAGTTCTGGTGTAGGAGGTTTAAATTATTTATTATGTGAGTTGATTGAAGTTAGATTAAGTCAAATCTAATAAATATCTAACCTGACTGATCAGTCAACCCTTAGCATAATAGCAACCATGTCAACGCGAAGAAGTATTCCAAAATACTCAAGTAATGCCCAATTCTGTAGCATCTAGAGGCACAACTCGGATCTGGCACATAATTGAATACTTATAATGTTTTGCTCGCATGAGAAATGATAATCCGATGTGAGCAACACGGTGGGTCTGACGTGCATCTAAGAGTCAATCTGGACCAAAAGATTAAGACAATAGGTTTAGGTCTATCTTTGTATATTTCCCAGCATGAACTTGGAAAATTCTATTCACATATATGATACTAAACATTGATCCCTTTTCCTAAGAAATGCTAAGTGGATCTAGATGCTTGGCAAGGAACCTAAGTAACAACCTAAGTTAACTAACTGGAGCTAACTAACTGGAGCAGCTTGAAAGCTGTACAAATTTGCCATTAGGCTATCCTACGACCACTATGATAAATGGGCCATTAAAGAGTCACACCCAATGTTATCAATGCGCAATACGAGGCACAAAGTTCCTTTACGAGCACATGCGCAAGGCACAATGCAATACGCGCGCCCAAGTGAAACGAGACACACACCGCACACATAATCTTTCGAGATAGATAATCAAGCATGAAAGAACATGTTTATGCTTTTTCGAATAAATATATGTCAAAATAAATAATATTTACTACCAAATCACAAAAGAAAATCTTAATTCATAATGTTAACATGGCCAACGTAGTACAAAGTTCATAATTTTCCAAATCGAAAGTCATATCAAGACTAATATCAAAGAAAAATTAGATAGTAGACGAGAACGAATTTGACTCCTCAATCGGGCTACTAAAATGGCCTAATGGATTTATTTTTCTTTTTGGAATATGGATTACATTTGTAAAGACCCAAATGAAATGTTAAAGAATAAAAATATACTAGTGTATGCCTTGCGTGCACCTGTGCGGAGCACCCTAGCGCAGGGCACTTGTGAAGCACAAAACGCTATGCCGCCTTAGATGCCGGGCCCTTCACCACCGCCCCGTGCTTCACCACCGCCCCGTGCTTCACCACCGCCCCGCATTGCAAGGCGCACGAGGCGCAATGAGGAGCGTGCCTTTGAAAACACCGGTCACACCTTGTTTTTCATTGTTTGAGTCTATAATACGTTCAACCAGTAAGATATTCTTGTCCCTGGAGACCTCAAAAGTGGTCTTAGATAGGGCTTTTAGTACTCAGAAGCAAGACATTCAATAACTATACCTGCTTTGATAGGTTATTAGCAGTCGCCTTTAGAGTTGAAGAGTTTGGCAGTACAACTGCAACTTATCATTGTTCTGTTCACATCAAGGTGCCAAAACGAAAGAAACATTACCAATAATGAATTCAAGAGTAGGAATTTTTATCATTGTGCAAGGTTGAAATGGAATACCTGTGGATAAAGTTTGGACAATCTTCCTTTTCCATCTTAAGAGGAAAATACATGCTCGAATCCAGATGGAGGAAGGTAGGAAAAAGGTGATGACATGTTTTCATGTGTCCGTCCATATTCATTCCAGTGAGAGAACAATGGAAAGATGCCCGTTGAAGATAAGGAAAGTCGAAGTATGCTCATTGTGGAAAGTTTCGACATATAAAAGAGACATGTTGATTGACTACAATAGGCCTGTTTCTGTGTTAGAAATGAAGAACAATAAGAAGCCTTCTCATTGGGACGCCATTGTTGCATCTTTCTCCCTGTCTTCATGACTATCTCAGATTGACAGTTATCATCTTAGTTTTATAGTTATACGTCTACCTTCTTCTAGTGCCATTTAGGTACCTCAGTTGTTTGTTAGTTGCGCACAGCTCATAACTATTTGTAAACAGATGCATTCCAATGTGTGTTGGTGTGAGCGTTAGCATGTGTGGTGTGTTTTTTGCAAATACCTTAGTTCCTTTTTGATTAAGTCTAGAAGGAAATCTTTTTGTCCTCAAGAAATATGCTACCATAGTTATGGGTTATATTGAAATTATGTTATTTCTCACATACTTTCCTGCTGCCGTGCAATAGTATATCTGATATTTCTCAAGCTTGAGTTTGATCAGAATATACTTTGCTGTGGTTATAGCATAGTCATATTTGGTGGCTGCTGTTTATGCAACAAACTGATTAAACATGAGATAAATGTTTCTGCAACAAACTGATTAAACAGGAGCAAACACATTTTCACTTCGTATTATAAGGGGCCTCAAGATGATATACTTGCATCTAATCCTAGGATTTGTTGAGAAGCACATTGTCCTTACTGTTCCGAAAGTTCCTGCAATAAATGTAGTGGATTTCCATGATTTATGATTGTTTTTCATTTTGACAAGCCCCCCAAAGTGTTTATTGATTACTTTATCTTGACTAATGCTCAACTTTGGTGCAGGCAGAAAACTCTTGGTCACCATACACATTGCAATAGATGCAATCTGGTTCAAGGGCAGTTTTGTGGGGATTGTTTGTACATGAGGTACAGTGTTTCATTCTAGCTACAGATAAGCTATCTGCACTTTGGGAGAGACAGTGATTTGTTTGCATATTATGAACTATTTAGTTCTTCTGCTGTTGATAGTGGTGGATGTTAGGTTTTCTTTTGGGTAATTACATGTATTCCCTGTGAGATCCTTGCCATCCTAATCAGGTCGCTTGTCAACCATTGGACCTTTGTTTATGATGAAATAACCCAAGTCCCTGTAAATCTGAAAATTCTCTCACTCTAATCTTAAGTCCATGAATACTGAACATTAGAAACTTAATATCTTACCCTAAATCTAAGTCTATGAACTCTGAACCTTAAAAACTGAAGCTATACAAAAAGCCAAAAACGAATCCTTAAACTAAGACTAAAATAAAACCATAAAATTTGAATCCTAAAATCTAAATCATAAACAAACTGATCATAGGGAGCTTGAGTTAGAACAGCTCATAATGGGTTGGATCAGGCTACATCCATGTCATGAAACCTATCCAAAATTTAGCCTTCCCTCCTTCCCTTTTCAGAACATATGTCTATCGTGAATGAAAGCTTATATATCTTCAAATTCTAAGAGTATATTTCGTTTGTTGAGTTGACACCCAAGTCTTTAGAAGCCCGACTAGCATCCAATCACCTTGAAGGTTCCACGTCTATCCTGTTGTTACTTGAGAAACATAACCGGAATTTATAACAAATCCTACTAAAAATACACCAGTGACATAGTGAAGTTATGGGTTGCCACAGATCGATCTGTCATTTTTTATAGGTATTGTTGCCAGATGGCTTATCGTTTTCTTTCGAGTTTGAAAACTTTTACTGAATCTGTACTTAAATTTAGTGTTTATGCTAATTAATAAAAAAAGAAGCCTTATTTGCTTAATATACTGTTAGTTGCAAGGACGCACAAGAGGAGCATTAACATTATATTCTTCTTTCTGCCCAGTTCATTCCCATTTAAACACTGTTTTTACGTCATCTTTTTTGCTTTCGGTACCTTGAATCTAGCAGGCTGAAGAAAAACTATAAATTGTTGTAAAAGAATTTGGCACATAGGGCATTTCTCATACATAAATCCTTCAGCAACCAGTTTCCTAGTTCACAAACTATCGACTCATTCGCATAGTTTTCGGTGAGGGAGAGGGACATCAATACCCTTCAGAACCTAGATATGCTTGCCAATTTTCTTGTGGTTTCTTTACTTTGCCTACACATTACTATGAAATGAAAGGTCAAAGAACATGAGAATACAAGATTATTGGTGTGGCAATACACAAGTCGTGGAGACCACCATGGATGTCGGACATCCAATTGGAGGATAAAACTGAACTTTTTGACTGCAGCCAGAGGAAATTGTCACAAATAACCGCTGATGCGTCACAAATTCTATCATCATTTCCATTGTAGCAATTTATACATGTAAAATGTTTAGCTTCACGAATCTTCAGTATTGTGCAGATATGGTGAGAATGTTTTGGAAGTTGAGAAGAATGTCAATTGGATATGTCCTGTTTGCCGAGGCATCTGCAATTGCAGTCTTTGTCGAACCAAGAAAGGATGGGCCCCTACTGGTGCACTCTATAAGAAAGTACGTATACTCCTTGGATTCTGGAGTGTTTTTTTATTATTATCTAATTTTTATCAGTTCCCTCAAATAGCGAGAGTTGTTATTTCATTTATGGTGTGCTATGCATCCATGATGTTCAAGTATCTAGTCATGACTTCAGTTAAACATCAAAATTTCTATTTTGAATGAATTGAGATGGATCATTCTCTCTTCTGGTGTAGTTTTTTATTTCCTTTTGACCTTCACAATCAAAGTTCATACTAAATTCCATCTTCCTGCTAGTAGTATAAGTTTTTGATTTAACAATAGTAATTTTGGTGTGTCCTGTAGGTCTTGAATTTGGGATACAAATCAGTAGCACATTATCTTATTCAGACTCGACGAAACCAGACAAACTCAGGAGACCAGATCTCTGACCAGGAGTTTGTATACTTCAGCAATATAGATAAGAGCTCACAACTAAATACCCTTGAATCAGAGGTTGGCTTGGACTCAGAGATCGCCGATAAGAACTCCAGGGATTCCCAGGAGTTGCTCCCTTTGAGCAATGAGCTTGAGACCTCAAGAGCCAATACCCTTGATTCAAAGACTGGCTTGAACTCAGAGATCACTGGTAAGAACTCCAATGACTCTGAGGAGTTGGTACTCTTCAGCAATGGGCAAGAGATCTCAGAACTCAATAACCTTGATTCAGAGACTGGCTTGAACTCAGAGGTTGCTGATAAGAATAGCAGCATCTCAAGGGGAAGTACTGTGAAACCTAAAGGGAGAAACAAGAAATTGAAGGAGGCTGGTTCATTCGAGAAACTAAGATCAGACAGTATCGCTAGTAGACTGCGGAAGCGTGTAAAGGTTACTACTGACTGACTGGGCGAGAGATGTTCTGGATAGGGCAAGCGATATTTTGGGCGCATCAGTTTGCAGGTCTATAGTTAGCAGACGTGGTGGAGTGGAATCATTTTGTGGGTTGCGGGTCTAATATGAGCCTGGGTATATGAAGCGTTGACGATGGCAAGTGATATTTTGGCTGCATCAGTTTGCAGGTATATATAGTTAGCTGACATAGAGAAGCGGAGTTATTTTTGTAGGTTGCGGGTCTAGTACGGGCCTGTCGAAACCCTTTCTTAAGTTTTGCAGCATGAATACATGATGAGTGTCATCTCATGTTTATTTTTGTCCGCTCTTTCAGAATTAGACGGATGGGATATTGATTTTAAATACATTTCTTATTTGCCTTCTTCTATAGATACCGTAATTTCCGTTCTCTGTATTAGCACCTTCGTTATGCATACGATACAAGTGAGTAGTTTGGTTGGCCTTTTCTGCATCACTACCATCTCCAGATTTTCCTCTGGTTGAATGCCTGATCTTCCCTCAATTGATATCTTGGTCATCGTTCTACATTAAAATAGAATGGAATCTCCCAATGTGATATCAAGGCATTTGATAAACACGTCAAATTTATAATGGATATAACCTTCAATTTACTGATTACATCATTAACCTCGGAGATGTGGGTTAAAATTTGCTCATCATTGATACAACTCACCGCTGAATTGTCAAGACAACAAATGAACGCAACTCATGTGCAGCAAGGTTAGAGTGGCTCACATGAATGTTTCGACCCCAAAATGAGGGAAAACAAACCAGGAGGCCAACGGACAAGGTCTTCATGCATGAAGGCAAAGCAAAGCAAAAATTAACTTCGACCTACTTATCAAAATTGAACAAGTTACTTCTCAGATCCATTTCATCCATCAAATGTTGCACGTCAAACTTCTTACAAATTCTAAACTCTATTCTGAACGCTCTGTATCTGGGACAAGGACTTGGCATCCACTCCAGGCTGACAATCAGAATAAGGGGAGACTAAAGTACTTGCATGATCTCACATTGAGAACTTTGGAATGATCAGTAGCAACAGAACAAGAGGAGACTAAAGGACTTGAGAGACCTCACATTGAGAACTTTGGAATGATCAATAGCAACATAGCTCTTACTCATATTTGAGTCGCTGGAAAGAAAACCGCATCTTTGAAGAAAAGGTGAGTACTCAAAAATTTGGAGACTCATCAGAATCTGTTTTAGTAATTGTCAAGAGGAAGAATTCAAATTCTCTCCAGTTAGGTGGAAATTGGAGATGATTCATTTCTCTCAATCTTTATTGCCCATCTCAATTTCAATGGATGTGATCATATGCCATCTAAGATTTAGTTGGCAGGACTACCAAAATGAGTGTTTCTAAAATAGAAATGTGAGGGATTCTCAGAACTCTATAAAGGATTTAGAATTAGTAGAAAAAACAAGTTACATGAACGGTAATTTCCGTAAGTTGTAAAAAGAATGAGTTTGTAGTACATATTGGTGATCAGAAATACCTTGGAGAAATCATTTTTCTCTATTTAGGATCAATTATTCGTCATCATGATGAGATTGAGATGATGTCGTTTATCAAATGCAATTTGAATGTTTAAAGTGGATGCGTGCTTTAAGAGCCCTAGGTCAGTTTGGCAAATTCCTCAAAACTAGGACATGATTGATCACTGCCCAGTTTTGAGATAAATTGGATTTGTTTTGATCTAAGGCAGGGGCGGATTGAAACCGATTTCGAGAGTTTTTTTTTTTGCCGAGGAAAAACTAGGTAGGAAAAACTAGGTAGGTGTTGGCTAGCCTAATTTTTCCGAAAAAGAGTTTCTTTTTGAAACGGGACTAGGATCAGCCCCAAAAATTTTCCCCAATAGGCTCCTATATGATCGTAGAATAATAACTGATGTAAAGTTGTGTAGAATCTGTAAGACAAACAATATTTCATGGATCAGAATGCTAGACAATTAAGATATAACATGCGCAAAAAATGAGTGTATTAGAAATGAGAGTATTACGATGGACAGGTGGATGTACTTAAAAATAGAATTGCATTAATATAAAGTTCGGTAAATTACACTAAACCCTCATGAACTTTCGACATTTTGTAGTAAACCCCAAATAACTTTCAGAATTACACTAAACCCCCAATAACTTTTGCAGACAACCCCCAATATCTTTTTTGTAAATTACACTAAACCCCAATAACATTCAAAATGCCTTTTCATGTTGTTTTTTGGTTCTAATTTATGAGGGTTATCTACAAAATACCAAAAAATATTGGGGGGTTTTCTACAAAATAGAAAAGTTATTGGTGGTTTAGTGTGATTTTGAAAGTTCATAGGGGTTTAACGCAAAATAAGTACTTTATTAGGAT